TTCTTTTTTTTTTTTTTATCTTACTTCAAACACTACAGACTAAAAAATGCTTATTGGTGCAAATTGCACCAGGGGTGCACAAGCAGGGCACAGTTGGCTCATGCAACTGATCTCTGGCAAACAGGAAAGTGGCTGTGAGGTGACTGGGTGTCTGGAAGAGCTTTGGAGTACCTGCATGACCCAGCAGAGAAACTCTGCGACGGGATTAAATTTCTGATCCGACGCATTTACAGTTCTGTCAATGATGCACATTTATTTGCAACTTTCTCCCAGACGGCGAGTCACTCACCTGACTGGCAGAGGACAGAGCGACAGGAAACAAGGGTCACTTCTATTTCTGCTGCAGCACCAAAGAGCGACCTTCTGCTCCCAGGCCTAGATATTGATTCAATATGTGCACTCTTCTGCACACAGAAGGCAAAATATCTCTGTGGCCTAAACCCATTTCACAGGATTTTCTGAAATGTACATTTCAGAAGACGTCCTATGATCATTCGTTGCTGCTTCAGATTACAGGCTTGATGGGTTTCATTCCTGCTGTGAGATATTTGTAATTTAAGCCTGATATTGAAGAAGGGCAGAAATAGTTACAGTATCTATGGCTGAGTCGTTTGAGGTGAGAGACCTCATTTGACCACAGCAGATGTTAAACGCCAAAGATTAGTTTTTCCAGAGTTTTTAAGAAGTAAAGAAAAAGCCCAGTGAAACACATTTTAAGTACAATTTGTGGCTTCTTGGACAACCTATGCCTGAAGCCATTTCTGTGAAAGACTTATGGAGAACTGTAGCAGCAGCTAAACTAACAACGTATTACGTGTCCAGAGCTTGAAATTAAATATGTTTAATATAGATTCTGTTATGATTTGTACACACAATTAAATTCTGCTGGTATTTCAATAAAACTCCTCATCATCTCAATACTGCCACCTGATGTAGAATTACTGCATAACACCTGGCTATCCTAAAAAAAGCAAACATGATAAGGAAAGTCCCCAGGACTATCCCCGTTTAATTGTCATTTGTTTTGATAGTACGTGAGAACTCGGTGTCATTATGCAACCACCCGGTGCCAAACTGGATTAGTTAAAAGGATGATGATGATGATAATGGGTGCGATGATACCGAGGGTATCAGCTTTCAGCGTGTCCCCAAATAGCACCACAAATAGTTTCATCGCCATATGGAGAAATGGTTTGAATGGATGTAAGAGGTCCAGAAATAAGAGCCGGTGGCTGTATGTAGGTGCATGATGATAGTGGTGATGTACTATTAAATTAAAGCGTTTCAATTAATCCCTGGAGCTCCCCACTTCATATAAACGTCTTCCTCCTATTCATAAGACTATAACTCACAGTTTGGCGTGGAAAATTATCATAACATTGTTTTAGTTCAGTATTGCTATTATATACAAGTCCCCTCTACGCATTCACGGCAATAAAAATGAATGAAACTTCAAAAAATGGGGCACAATGTGCATAAACATACATACGAATTAGGAAGATAGAAATCATAAAGACTCATAGAAACCGTAGTCCATAAGTTTGACGTAGATTTATATATATATTAATAATTCATATAACAATCATACACACATAATTGTTTTTATCAAGGGAATAGATAAGCAGGACAATGTTTTTCTCCATAATATAGTAGTATAATAGCTGATCAGCCTAGTGTTCTCAATGTTGCCATTATGTGAAGCTAAGAACAGCTGGAATAGGGAAAAGTGTTAAATGCATTCCCCTGTTGTGGGCTAAAAATCCAAAGAACAAATAAAGAAATGAACGTTTACATTTTGAACGTGGTGTTTTAACTTACGTAGGTTTTCGACTACAACGTCCCTACCTGCAGTGATCAATCAGACCAATCAGCCTGTTCTGACATTGGAAGGTCAGCAAAGTCATCGCAGACGTTTTACGCACGCCAGTTACGCACAAGCGCCGTTTCAACCAAACCGTGATCAGCGATGATGGTGTAAAAGCACAGAGATAATATTACCAAAATGTACTGAGTGTTTGGGGGGGTTTACAAAAAAACAACAACAACAAAAACACATTGCTTTATTAAAGGAACTTTTCTGGAGGTTATTTAGAACCAAAGCTGGCGAAGATAGCTATTTAAGGTCATTTAAAGAGTTCATAATCAACACAACGCTTTTTCACATTAATACATTTGTCATTTAAACATGATTAAAGACAGCGTTTGAAACGACATTCATTAAAGCACAGTCAACAAGTGAAATTATATAAACACAAAGCAAAAACAAAAAAATAATAACAGTATTAAGTACGGTTGACTTGGAATAAGACTTTCTGGCTGTCAAAGATAATATAAAAGTTTACCCCAGCTTTCACTCTGAGGTGTTCTGCACACTTTAACAGGCTGCAGAGTATGTTTCAACCAAATCAGCAACATATATTATTAGCCTTATGCAATATTAAGCACTTTCACATAGGCCTACGCTTAGCCTACCATTTAAGCATCTTCATTTATGTTCATATAAATAGAACAGCTCTGTCTACTGGACACATTTTTTGACTGACTGCTTTGCACACAGTGTCTGTTACATAGCCTATGCATCATATTTCGGGTGAGACAAGGTATATAAGCTGGTGAGAGTTGCTGGGGCTTTACTGCAGTCACCAGATTCATCTGAGCGAATCCACTCTAGTCTTAGCCAGACCCTAAGGTGAGTTTCACTGAAGAGTTGCAGACCTGTAGGCAAGTCCACTTCCTGACTCAGAGAGTTACAGGGCTTCTACTTCTTCATGCAATGGGATGTAAATCATGTCCAGATTTTGAACATCACAAGGCCAGATTTCAGCTTTGGACTAACAGAGGAACGAAACGGAGAAAGAGAAAAAAAATTCAACTACAGATGCAAAGGAGATTTAATCTTTTGCCTTTTGGAAGGCTTTATTTTGGAGAAATTGGACTACCTTTTGTGGCTTGGAAGACTCACAGAGAGGGACTGTGAATTATACTGCATGGCATAATGAGTATTGCATGAAGCTCTGTAACTCTGAGCAGTGCACTACAAAGTGCACTGAGGGAAGTTAAAAGGTGGCCTTAGATTGAGAGTAAAGCTGCTTCATCGTGTCAGATTTCCCCACAGCCTGACTGACTAACCGATGACTTGTCCTCTTCTCTCCTCCCTCAGTTAAAAAATGGCATTCGCCGGAGTCCTGACCGAAGCTGACATCACTGCAGCCCTTGCAGCTTGCCAAGGTAAACATGATGAAACTCATAGCATTTTAACCTAGGGAAAGCCTAGACAACAGCCAAACTGTGACTGCAAAAACTTTGCATCCAGTTGCAAAATATTATAAAAAAAAGAAAAAAAAATCTCAGGTGTCTGCCAGTAGTAAAGAGAGTTCTAAATGGCTGTATGTCTCAGCATAAAGCATGCACCAGTGCATCTACTGTAAGAAAAGCTGACCTGCACATTAGAAAAAAAGCTGAGTGATGGTCAGGAAGGGAAAGTGGATACAACCAAATGCCAGGCCTTACATGCAGAAACTACAGCCTCTGCAAAACACACCACAGCCTGTGTTTGTGCTATAACCTCCCTCTGTCCATCTTTCCACAGCTGCCGACTCCTTCAAGCACAAGGAGTTCTTTGCTAAGGTCGGCCTGGCAGCCAAGTCCGCCGATGAAATCAAGAAGGCCTTTGCCATCATTGACCAGGACAAGAGTGGCTTCATTGAGGAGGATGAGCTGAAGTAGGCACCCTCTCTTAAATTTCACCCACAAGCTCCTCAAAGCTCTTGTAGCACTGGGATCATCTTTCTCTGGCTCACAGTGAATTCAGAATGATGTCAGAGGCCCAAAAGCATCTGAGAAGCTCGGGCTACTGGGTGTTCTCCTAGACTGCAACTCAATACCAGTTCTCTCCTTCAGTGCCTCTCGCTGTAGGGTGACGTAGAACAGAGGACAAAGGAAAGGAATTGTAGCCTGCTTACATTTTTTTCATGACAAAGCCCAAAAACCTCAGCATCCAATAGAACAAGAAGGATTCAGTTAGAGATATTTAATATGTTTTTTGAATAGATGATCGGTTTAGCACAAAATATTCACTGTGATCCCAGAAAACAACTGTTCAAAGAAAGGCTTCTCTTTTAAAAAGAAAAAAAAAGCTCATCATTTGTCTCTGATCACCCTCTCCAGGCTGTTCCTGCAGAACTTCTCTGCCAGTGCCAGAGCTCTGACTGATGCTGAGACAAAGACATTTCTTCAGGCCGGTGACTCTGATGGCGATGGCAAGATCGGAGTTGATGGTGAGGAAATCTTTACCTCCAGAAGAACAATGTAAAGGCCATCCAACAAAAGCAAAACAATAACCTTCTTTCTTTCTTTCTCCCTCTGCAGAGTTCGCTGCCATGGTCAAGTCTTAAATGAATGAACTGACCAACTGACTGACTTCACAACTCTAAAGGAACAACTTGAATCAAGACATCCTTTTCCTCTCTTCTTCTCCTCTTCCCATTCACTCTCTCTCTCTCTGTCTCTCTTCAGTTCTCCACACCACTTTTATACACTCAACCTTTCACCCCTGACCATGGACAAACTGCTCCCTCTCTTTCTTTCTCTGGCAGTGCAGACCCCAATGCTGTCCACGATGAATGTAACCAACTAAGTGTATAGCGTGGTTGACTCGTGTCTTTCTCTCTCTCTCTCTCACTTCTGTCGTCGTTTTACTGTGACTTCTGCTTTCTGTGAGATCAGTGATGATGCACTTTTAGGGCAAACGGACGGACGATGAGAAAACAATAAAGGTTCTTTTTTCAGTAAGACAAGTCTGACCCTGTTCTTTGCTATTCAGTTGTGAAGTAGTAAATCAATGATAGCTTCTTTTTTTAAAAAGAAATTCAAAAACATTATTTTAAATGCATGAGAAAACTTCTACATGTAACATCCACCCACCCACCTATCAATTCCCCCATTGCCTGTGAATTGGCTCTTTAGGTAATCTTTAGGTAATCTGGCACAGATGTGCCTATTTTAAGAAAATAAATCTATGCTAAACTTTTAACTAAAATGCTAAACAAGTAGGCGAATGTCACACAGACAGGTAATTGACTCTGTATAAATGATGATCATAGCCACCATAATGTCACCCCATGGGTTTGTGTAGTCCTGTATTGAAGTCACGAGTTCAGAATTTTGCATCACTGTCTGAGATTTTGGAGCCAAACGTTGAATAGGTGATGGATGGGTTAAGGGGGATTGTAACATCTAGTTCTTTTATTGAATCGGTTGCTAAGACCATAAAAGAAGGGGCATTTTCTCTTGTACATCCAGAAGAATGCCGTTTTAAAGCACATCTGCAACAGCATGTATCTTCTGTGAACAATTCATGGAAGTGATATGATATGCAATGTTCAGAAATCAACCCACCTAAAACACTTCAAAAATATCTATGTGCAAACTGACTTTAAATCTTTTGATTACGTGTAGATTTTACATGTAGTTTTATTACAAGTACAATGTAAACCTGTGAATTTAATGGACTCTGTTCAAATGAAATGTACTTGATTTGTATGCATTCAGTTTATACTATATTTTCCTTAATGAGTCATTATTTAATTAAACAAACCTTTTTATTTTACTCAAAATTATCTATTATTTATTAAGTGCCAGTAGTTATATCAGACCAAATAAGCCTGTTGCAGCAGACCAGTTGAGTGCACATACTGTATATGCAAAATTTTCCACTGTAATGTGCTCAGTTTTTTATTTGTGTGAGGTGTAAGGTCCTGTTTTGGTTGCTTAAATGCTTTTTTTTAATTGACTTTTGCACTATTAATGCATTACAAGTACGTCCAGCTGTGCTGATGTGAGACTTACATAACCTCTTAATCTAGATTCACAAATACCTGACTCCTGCTCTACATAATCCAGCTCTTATCTCTTACAGTATCTGGTAATGCTTAAATTCCACCTCCCTTCCAAAGTGGGAGAAAAACCAACAGCAACATACAAGAGCAAAACTTGATTGATAATCGCAATAATAGTAAGCAACCACAAGGTGTCGCCATTTAAAATAAATAAATACAAAGAGGGTTTTCAGATGTTTGATGGTTAAAGTTGCAAACGTCGAGGCTTGGAGATAAAGAGGTGGAGTTACTCTTGGGGTAAATAGTTCGTCTTTTTGTGTAACAAGTAGGTGAGACTGATGAAAATGCTGTTACTTGCAAAGTGTTAAGTCAGAGATTTGCAGCAATTGAAAGTTTGAAAAAAATAATTAGATTTATTCCCCCTGGTTCTAGTTACAGAAAGCACCCGTCCCCCCCTCTCTCCTAAAGCCATTAGTGCTGACTGGATTCACCAGAGACGCTGCTGCGTCAGATGGTTTGGAAGGCTTCCCCCTTTGCAGGAAACAAATTCATCAGTTTAGAGTGGCAGGCTGCCAGCAGGCTCTTCAGCACAGGCCCCACCCAGCCTCTCACCTTTTAGCACAGGTGCATGAGTGAGAGCTTCAAAACCTCTGACAGTAACAAATGATATGCATATATCTAAATTCTCACTAAAGAAACTTGTAATCTTCATGTTAACTTGTTAGGCAGGTTGATGGCTCACTTGCAACAAACACTGAGGTTTTGACTTCTGAATTTTTACTATCAGAGCATGCGTAATGGAGTATTTCTGATAAATTACGACCTGCTTGAGTCATCCAAATCAAAGAGACTCTTCATTAAAGAAACAAAACAAAGAAATGATGCCAGACTGATTATTGGATACTTTTAAGGTTTCAAATGCACCTGCAGGGAGAGAGAGAGAGAAGAGAAGAGATGGGATGGGGAAAATGTAAGGGAGGGGGAGAGAGGGAGAGCAGTGTAACACAGGGGGAGAAAGTTGATTGGACGAACCACACGCTGCCATATGAGTAACGGGGGAAAGGGAGAGAGAGTAGGAGAATGTGCAGCGGATATAAACCGTAAAGGTTAATTGGACAGGTGAGCGGGTGAGGAACACGAGACGGAGGCGGCTGGCTGCGGGAGAATTTGATCCTCGGACAGATTGGAAACTCAAGCATCGCACTCGTCGTATATAAGGCAGAGCCAGCTGTCGGCAGCCACCAAAGAGTCTTATTTGCTGCTGCTGCTGCTGCTTTTGGACCCGGACCGAGGCAACTGCGGTGAGTAGCCCACAGCTGCACAGGTAAACTCTCAGTACAGGTGTGGTATCTGTCTGGTGTGGTCTGTTGGTGCAGTGGCGCAGCCTTTAGACTATTTGGGTTACTTTTTCAGGGACGTGACGAAAGTTTTAAATTCGTCTAGCACTGCTTAATTCCTCCAAACATGACAGAAAGGTGAGATTTTTGACCAAAATACAGGTTCGGGCTGTTTCTGCTCATGCTTTTAACAGATTCCCCTAAAACAACCTGATAAAAACTTGCAGATCATTTTTTATCTACGTTTATTTTTTGTTTAAAGACAGCAAGCTGTCGAGCGCTCAGGAGAGGGTGTTTTAACTTTTCCTAGTTCTCTTTTTTATTCGTTCTGCAATGGAAGTTTAAGTATCACAAATTTTACTCCTTCCCTCCCTCTGTTGATTTTTTTTCTTGTAAAGTCCCTAAGTGCCAATTATTTTTGCACAGAGCCAATTAAGCACTTCAAACAAGGCCAAAAAAAAAAAAAAAAGCCGATTAACAAGCTCGCAGGGGAGATCCAATCAAAAAGCACAATTAACCTGGCATCAACGATAAGACAGAAAATATGTTTGGAGTTTTTTGGTAAAATAGAGATTGTACATAAAACACATGAAACCCACTCATCAAAAACTCATAACCTGAGGTCTTATGGGATGATGATATTAACCTAGATACCACTACAGATATTAAAAAAGGTAATCCAGTGTGATACAAAAGTGGGCTGAGAGGATATCACACAGCCAAATGTAGGTTAAGATAATTAGAAAAAAGAAAAATACAGACCTATGTGTGTTTCTTTAAGACTTTTCTTCTATTTTGCAGGACCAACATGTCACTCACATCCATTCTTTCCGCTGACGACATCCAAAATGCCATTAAGGACTGTGAAGGTAGGATGTCAACTTATGCACACTGGACCACACAGTAACTAAACATGATCAATTATGACGGTTGTATGACTTATATGCAAAATAAAATACATTAAATGCCGAATAAACGGTTGCTGTAGTCGAGTTCTTTGGTTTTGTTTTTGTTTTTGCAGAAAGGTGCATAATCTTCTCCACAGCTTTTCAATATTGTACAGTGTCCTCGCTACTAAAGTCGCACCCGCTTTAAATCGGAATTTATTTATTTATTTACTTTAAAAAAGGGGTTTTAATAATCTTCTCTGTTTTTTATATTTGTGGGGGCATGGCTGCTGGCTTTAAAAGTTTAAAAAAAGAAAGAAAAAAAGGGGGGAGGGAAGAGGAAAAATCCCTCCCTCCGTCGCTGCAGACACATGCCGTTTTAATCTCCACATCACCTCCCGGCCCGGTGAACCTCACGGGTCAGCTCTGTTTCTGTATTTGTTTCTCTTTTTTTCAACATTTGTATGCTTTCAGCTCCGGACACTTTCTGCTACAAGAAGTTCTTTAAGCTGTGCGGCCTGTCCTCAAAGACACCCAAGGAGGTCAAAGATGTGTTCCAGATCCTCGACGAGGACAACAGCGGCTACATCGAGCACTCTGAGCTCAAGTGCGTAAAAGGATACGGGGTGTCTGCTCTCCCAGAGGCGCTGAATCTTCTTTTCTTTTCAATATGCACTTTTGTTCCTCTACCTGGATTTACTCCGTCAACTAACTGACCCAGTGCGGTGTGGCTTCATATTTAATGTGAATCTATCTCGTATTATTTCTCTGATAGAAAGAAAAAAAGAAAGAAGGAGGCTCGGTACATTAAATCACACAGTAGTACTCTATTACTGTGATGAATGTTAAGCTGTCTCGCAGTAATCCACTGTGAGTGGTGTTTTCATTTCATTTCTGTTACACAATTCATCCTTTTTTTTGATAAGAGGTTTGATTTGTGCAGTCCAGTTTAGGAAGTGGTGTCTTTCTCCATGTTCTTATTATTTTCTGTTTTTAAAACATGCCGTATATTGTCATCCATAAATATCAGTCATGGATAAATATCGTCATTGTGTGTGTGCGTCTAGGTTTTTTCTGCAGCGGTTTATCCCCAGTGCACGGACACTGACTGACGCAGAAACCAAGAGCTTCATCTCAGCAGCTGATGATGACAGCGATGGCAAAATTGGAGTAGACGGTTGGTATCTGGTTTCTCACAAAAAAAATCAGCATGTGGGCAGAAATGATCTTATTAGTTGGATTAAGACTCAGCTGGTGGAAATGAACCAACACAGGCTGTGCCAAAAGAGACGAACTGGGTGATATATGAGATTTAGTGTGTGTGTGTGTGTGGCACGATGAATGAGAGGTAGGGGGGGGTGTGTTTCACAAAGAAGCACACCACATCAGAAAACATAAAATGCACTATACATCTATGAGGTGTGAGAAGGTATTGTTTTTCTATAATGTTGAAATCCTGGGAATGTTTCATTGGTGTATTTTCTGATCCTTATTTAACCATTATGCCACGTGTGAACCATACATGTTGATATAAAGGTCATCATCATGCTCGATCATTTGCCCCAGTTTTACCCATTATCCATTTGCAAACAAAAAAGTTGTCTTAGTTAATAGGATGAAGGATTTAGGCGAGCCAAAATGGACCGCTTTAGTCTGTGTTTATTGTTTATTTACCAGCTCTTCCCTAATCCTGGAGGGAATTGACACAAGATTTAAATTTGCTTGTTTTCTTGATTTTTGTCACGTGGCACATGCAGAGCTATGATTAATTCTGAGTATTCCTTTATTTGTTTATTCTTTTCCCCAGAATTCCAATCCATGGTCCTATCCTGAGTTTTCAGATGAAAAAAGTTCAAGCATTCAGGTCCTTTGGTCACTTTCCCACATCTGGAGTCTTCTGATCCACTTCCAGGGATTAAATATGTTTTCTATTAATGTCTGTGTGCACAAATTGCTTTAAAAAAAGGCCTTTTTTATTTTAAAGGCATCACAACTTAATGTGTCTTTTCACTATATTGGTATGTGGTTTCTCGTCTGTAGCATTCCCCCCCTGACAATGAATGTGGTAAATAAACATGTGGAAACACACACACTTGTGAACTGACTGTGTATATATTAAACGAACTCATATTATGGTGTTTAGTATGCTTTGATGATAAAGTTATACATAAAGCAGTGCTTAGCACTGGTGCATCATATCAAGATGTTTGTGGGTCTAAATTTCCCTGTCAAATGTCAGCCTTTGTTACAGAAAAGGCCTCTCCATGTGTTGCTCAAAGTCCAGAAGACATGCCTCTTAGATTATTTGGCTGTAGGTGTAGAAAAAAGGAAGATAAAGAAGCTTAAATTTATAGAATAAAATGGATATATGTAAATATTTGGACACAACTTGTAGTGTAAAGCACATTGTTGTCGGTAAGACCCGAAACACAACATATAAATGCCAGTCTAAATCAAAAACAAATACACACAAGATTACAGCTTTACTGGAGGTCAAAGGAGCTTGCAAAGAAAAGCATCTGGACTTCTTTAAGTTGCTTGAAGACGTTTCACCTCTCATCCGAGAAGCTTCTTCAGTTCATGAGAGGTGAAACGTCTTCAAGCAATCAAAATAAGTCCAGACGCTTTTCTTTGCAAGCTCCTTTGACTACGATGACCTGTATGACTGAGAACCTTCACAGACAGCTTTACTGGAGAATCAAAAGAAAAACAGTCTGGGTGCAGGCATGTTTTGGTGGCACTAATTCCTAAGTATCAACTGTACTATTCATCATTTATAACCTGAAATGTCCGTAATTAAGAAATGTATGTTTTAAAGATTTAATTTTATATTAAGATAAGATATAAAGGGTGCAAATTAAGAAAAAAAAACATTTTAAAACGAAAAAGACAAACTTTGTATCTTGCTATTATGTATTTAAAAATTCTAATTCTGTAATATTATTGCACAGCAGTATGCTTACTCAGCAAAACGTGTTGTGGTCAGTTAAACTGGAGCACCCCACAGATCATTTGAACCCCCCATTTGGAGAGTAGGAAACTTTGTTTGAAAGCGGTTTGACTCGAGCGACTGAGCTTGTGGCACCTCGTAACTAAAAGCAGGAAGTTAAGGATGTGAAGTAGAATGCAAGCGGCTTCGCTTCCCATTAACACCATTTACGCATTAGTTCTTTTAATTTTCACTGTCTGTATCAGCGAGTACATGGACGTGTTGTGTTTATCTTCTGTAAGGTGAGTGTTACTGTCACGGTTCACTGACGGTTCCTCCGACAGCCAACACAAGCCTACAGCTAGCAGAGCCAAGCTAACAAGCTAGCTTCTCTGAGTGACTCCGGCTGGTCGCTGACTGGATGTTTGTCAGTAGTAGTACACAATCACATACATTTCCTTATGTGTTTGTTTTGTAGTTTATTATAACACATATTGTATAAAAATATCCAAGTATTTCTCTCTGCCGGCTAAAGTACAGTAGTAGCATTTCATTTGCAGTACCGTATGTGTACGAGACAATAATGACAAAATGTAAAACGAGTAGAAAACAAACACACCCCTTAAATGTAGAGGTGTAAGCGTCTGAACTATATCACTTTTATCTCCAGTAAATGAAGTGAACTGCTACAATTTTACCTTGCGTGACCTAGTGCCTCTAACTTTAACCAAAATGGTCAAAAACTGGTACACCGTTTTATTATTATACACAGCAACATGGCTGCTAACTTTTAAATGCAAATATCTAATAAGCAAATCACATGGCAGCAGTTCAGTGCATTTAGACACGTAGACATGATCAAGACGACCTGCTGAAGTTCAAACTGAAAATTAGAATGGAAAGGAAAGATGATTTTAAGTGGCTTTGAACGCAGCATCGTTGTTGATGCCAGACAAGCTGGTCTGAGCATTTCAGAAACTGCTGATCCACCATCTCTAGGGTTTCCAGGGAAAGCGAAAATATCCAGTGAGCATCCAATTTTGGAATTAAAATGACTTGTTGATGGCAGAGGGGAATGTTTCTAGGTGATAGAAAGGCAAACTTATACAAATAACCACTAGTTTACAACCAAGGTATGCAGAAGAGCATTTTTGAAGGCATGACACGCCAAAGCTTGAATTGGGGGCTACAGCAGCAGAAGACCACACCGGGTACCACTACTGTCAACTAAGAACAGGAAATTGAAGCTGCAGTTCACACATGCTCGCCTAAATTTTGATTTCTCCTGCATCATTCAGAGGGTAGGCTTAGATTTTGGTGTAAACAACATGCTTTGTATCAACAGTTCAGGTTGCTATTGATGGTGTAATGGTGGGTGGAATATTGTCTTGGCACTCTCTTTGCCCCTCGACCATTGCTTAAACACTACAGTCTACTGTAGCATTCTTGCTGACCATGTTCATTACTTTATGACAACAGTGTAGCCATCTTGTGATGGCTTCTTCCAGCAGGGTAACAGAAAATACTCTGTGGAGGCCATTTAAGTACAGTAAGCGCAATCTTTAGATCTCAGTGAAATAGAGAACTAATGGAGTGAGAGATTCCCACCATGTATGTGTAGCCAACAAGTCTGCAGCAACTGTGTGATGCTATAATGTCAGTATTGGCCAGAATTTCTTAGGAATGTTTCCAGCGCCTTTTAAAATGTGTACCTTACCAGTAGTGTATTATTACCAATGGATTTGTGTCACTATATAACTGGATGTTGTTGTCTTTGTTTTGTAGGAACACGGCATGCTAACCAAACGGCCACTGGAGCAAAGGAAAGGCAGACACAAGTTACACTAATGCTGATGATCAGGTAAGTTTAGGTGACTTAATATTTTGGTCTTCCTCTTTTCCATGCAGTATTTTGGCCCCTATGCAATGTTTTGGTCTCTGTGCAATATTTTGGTCTCTGTGAAATTACCATTCCCATCCTAAATGATCATAGCCCCTCCACCCTTATTTATTTATTATATTATATTACTGCCCTTGTATACACCCCCACACTGCTTCTGTTTCAGTGTTTCTACATACACCATGTATAGTCAGGGGTGCACATACGTGGTCCGCAGGTGCGCATTCGTTGTCAAAATAAAAGACGCGCACCAGATAAGAAGTTGCAATGCGCATTTGCGTACATATAAAAGCCACTGTTTTTGTCCGCTAGAGTGGGATTTTCACAGCATATTCTGCACTACATCTGTGTGCGTTCATCATTTGTTTGAAGCCAGCTCACCTCCTGCAACCACTTTTCTGAGTATACGCACTTCTTTTGCGGTTCGGACTCTTTCTGGCATTTCTTTGGAGGTGGAGGACCACCAAAGAGAACTAATGGAGTGAGAGATTCCCACCATGCAAGCTCCTTTAATTGCTTAAAGGAGCTTGCTTCTTCGACATCTTTAAGAGTTCTAATCAAATGTCTGTCCTCCTCCAGAAAATCTTATGTACGCAAACTGGCGTTGCAACTTCTTATCTGGTGCGCGTCTTTTATTTTGACAGCGAATGTGCACCTGCAGACCACTTATGTGCACCCCTGTATATAGTTTAATCCCACAGACACACACACACATATATATGAAATATACTGCTTTTTCTTCTTTGTATATTATTTTCTTTACTTTTCACCTTTGTAGTCTTGCTACCCAATTACACTGTGCAAAAAACTGCACAATGACAATAAAAGGTCGAAGTCCAAGTATTACATAAGAGCAACTTGGATGGAGTCTAGAGGTATGTCACCTTTCTCTTTGTGTGCCACAGCCCCAAAATGGCCTCAGGAATGCAAGAGAAACAGTACACACCATCTTTACTCAGTTTTTTCATTTACAACCCCACGTTTGGACCTCGAGAAGGAGAGGTGAGTGAGACTCCCTGATAAAGAGTTCTTATGCAAACCTTTTTAGCCTTTAGATGAAAAAAGCATACCTAATGCAAATATTTTTGTTTTAGGAAGAGAAAAAGATTCTGTTTTACCACCCCAGTGATGTTGAGAAGAACGAGAAGATCCGAAATGTTGGCCTTTGTGAGGCCATTGTGCAATTCACCAGGTATCAGTATTATGGTGTATATATTACTGCAGCAGCATCATGGCTGTATTTGCAGTCTATTTATTTGTACTTTGAGCATAAATTTAAGCGTTTGTAGCTGTGATGAAGCAAAAGGAAGCCTGAAGCACAATAGAAAAGGGAAATGTTGCAATAAGTGGTCAGATGCACACTGATAAATATCTAGTGTAAATACAGACAGAAATTTAAGAGCCGTGCGTGTTGTTTGGGTGTGTCGCCCTTCTTCACTGTCACATCCCCTTTGTTCCAGGACGTTCTGTCCAACAAAACCAGCTAAATCCCTGCACACACAGAAGAACCGGCAGTTTTTCTTTGAGCCCGAGGAAAATTTCTGGATGGTCATGGTATCTTGCAAGCTTATGTGTACATCACCTTCCCAGTATTTAGTCTTTGTCCAGAGTTTGTCTCCTTCATTTTAAATATCATTCTACTCTTAACTCTTTAATGCTCCTTTGTGCTGTTTTATTAAAAAAAAATCCATCCTCAGGTGGTTCGAAATCCAATGATTGAGAAACCAAACAAAGATGGCAAACCTCCTACAGTAGAATATCAGGAAGAGGAAATGCTTGTGAGTACTGAAAAGTATTCGTGTATGTCTTCATTGTTTATCTCTGAGTATTGCCAGTTGTACTTAGCTTCCCTCTTGCCTTTTGTAGGATACTGTTTATGGTGCAGTGGTAAGGCAGTGCTACAGCATGTATAAGGTGAGTTTGAGTGCGGTTTTAGAATTTGCCATACTTTTTAACATTTACAACACAAAAATCACTTAACCCCTTATTGTGCTGGTTTTTTATTTAGCAACAC